CTGTTACAGCAGATGAAGAGTATTTCTGTGGCATTCTGCCATCTGTAGTGTCTGCCTTTTCCCATCAGCTAACCCCCACCGTTTCTCAGATGCTCTGACTTTAGAGCTCCTGGAACCTGGCTTGCTTTCTCCTGTCTTTGGGTCTAGGCAATGATGAAGAAACTATGAAAAAAAACCGAAGGGCAATTGATAGGTTTGTATTTTAGGAGAGAGGCAAAGTGAAGGTAAGAACATGCTCTGATTAACTAGAAGTTTGTTCACTTTTTATTAATGCAGGTTTAGGAAACAAAGTTTCAAGTGTGTTGGCATTTAAGAGAACTTGGCTTCATGAGTATTGCCTTATAAGAGTCTTATTAGTGAGAAATATAAAATGTAATTGGTGCCTAGTAGCCGCCATCCAGCTTCAAATAGATTTCTAGACTTAGATTTTCAGATCCCACTTTTGACATTTCAGGAAGAGTACAGAGCCCATTTCTTTGGGCGATCTTTTACCCTTTTCTTAGTGAGTATTCCAAATTAAGAAAAAAAAATCCTAGTGTAAAAGTCGAAAATGCCACAGAAAAGTAGAAGAAAAATAATTATCTAACATTAGTAAAGTGCTGTGAGTCTTGCAGTAAAGTATAAATAATACATAAATGATTAAATGTAACAGTAATATTAAGACACTCATCTCTAACAGTGACATAAACACACTATAGAATGTATGTACAGTAATCACTGCCCATAGGTTGACAAATACACCAAGAATAAACATGAGTCTCTTTTATTAATTTTAGCAATATAATTGCTAAATTTTCCTTTGTCAACTTTGAGATCTCTTAAGTGATAACACCTGCTCAGAAGTCCCCCACATACATTAAAGCCACACATGCTTTGGTAGTTTCCCTTTTCTCACTTTGAGATTACTCTTGTCATGGTAGTTAATTCTTCCTTTAAGCTCCGAGTCGATAGAATTCAGGATATTTGATAGTCCTAAAGGCCTGAAAGTTTGAGGCTATGGACTTTTTTTGATGATTTCATCTTCGAGACTCTAATTTGTCAAGGATGCCTAGGGGTAATTTATCAGGTACATAAAGACTTGAGTATATTTTTAAAAATCTCTACTCTTGCCTTCAATTTAAACAAAATTTTGTGTGGGCCTATTATGTTTAATTTGGGAGGAACATAAAATTGAGCCTATGGTTTATAAATTAGATAAAGCAGCAGATCTAGAGAAGTTGGTATTAATTTTCAACTACCACAGATTTCTTCTCATCTTACCAATTCATAGTATCCTTAATGGCTTCCAGTCACTATCTTAGATTTAGAAATGTGTAACAGTTTCAAAATTAACAGATGCTTTCCCCTCCACTGCTAAATGTATAGTGAATATGGTATGCCCAGTTAACGCTCACTGAAGGGAAGGATAATTAAAAAATAAATTATATTTTTGTCTATTCCTCTTTATTTAATGGTCATGTTAAGAAAGTCAGAAGATTTTACATAAACTATCACTTTAGGAACATTTGTTAAGACAGTGTTATTTTTAATTGTATTAGTACTTCCATCCGCCTGGATATTTGTTTATAATCAGGCCATTTCTTATCACGATAATCCATCCCTAGAAATTAGAATGCCTTAACAGCCTTCTGTTACTTTCTCAGATTTTTATGCTCACTTGTAAATACAGCATACAAACCTATCTAACAGAATGTTACTGGAAAATAGAAAAATAATGAAGAGAGACATCACATAACTGTTGATATATAATTGTTAAGAAACATGTAAAGATCCCCTACAACTGTCAAAAGTCATATACTTGCCATAATTAGGTTCAGGTCTCTTGTTTCTCAAATAAACTAATATCCCTTTCTCTTTTTCAATTTAAGTGGACCGTAAAGAGTCCAAGTATAGTTGAAGATAACATTAAATAAACTTCGTAAGTTTTTATATTCATAGATAAAACATGTAAGTTGGAATGGATTGATAAAAGGCTATCATAATCAATACATTCATTCTTCCCAAGAACATAATCAATGATTTAAATGGATGTCATTATATTTGTACGGTCTTTCATTTTATAAAATGGAAGCTAAATATTAATACTTCTGTGATTTGGGGGAGTGGGGAAGGGCAGAAATTAGCTGTGTCAGTAGCAAATTATTTTGTTTTTTGGGTTTCTGAGAAATGAACAGTTCTTACTACAATACTTTAGAATAAAACTATTGTGCTTAAACTGGACAATAAGACATTTTCAAAATTTTCAATAAAAGGAACGTACACCAATTATTATTTAAATATGCTTTATAAAGTAAAAAATTGGATGACAGATACATTGAGAATCGCCTTCCTCATATAAAAACTTCATGATATAAAATATTAAAATCATTATAGTTACAAAGAATAAGCTCTGAAACCGCTTTCTAAATGTAATGAAACTGGGTTGTACAACTACCAAAATAAGCTGCTGTTTTGACCACTGGGGATTATAGAAAAAGAGATTATTATTATTGAATGGAAACCCTTTTAACTTATAAGAAAGGAAAATAAAAAGCACACTAAAATAATTTCCAAAGACTCTGATACCCTATTTCTTCTGTTTAAGAACCTCCTTCATCTGCTTCAGGGTATCACACAGGCTTGACTTTGAAGAAGTATAATGCTACATCAACCTGACGAGAATCCCTTCATAATACAAGGTAAGAAGTCAAAGTTTCCTTCCATAGTTTAATGAATAGACAACAAAAAGCATTTTGTCTTAATGTTATTCTGTAATTAGCAAAAAGCAAGACAACAAGCACTTTGCTCTCATTTTAAGATCATGGTCGTTCTTACTCACAGGGCTGTAAACTAGCTAGGCTTACACAAGCTGTGGGTTGTGGACGCTTTTTCAGATAATCTCACATGTTCCAACTGGGTTGGGTAAGTTTAACATTCCAAAGTCTGAAATCTAGACAATTGGAAATTGAGTGCAGAGAGTTAAGATAATTTTAAACGTTTAGATTTTTAAGACACTTCTCATCCTGGGATTGAGACTTTCAAATTTTTAACATGGTATTATCTTGAAAAGATGAATGCTTGTCTGAGAGCAAGAGATGCTAAAAAATATTTATCATTAGCTAACAAAAATAAAGTTGTTATGAAAAGGAGATGTGAATAAAGTAGCTAATAAAATGATCTTTTCTTCAGCTTAACTCCTCTTTTGCTGAACAACCACTTACTGCTGATCTATCTGCACAGTGTGGATTTTCTATCTAATGAGATAGAAAGGCCAGTGTTTCTGACTGGAGAACATCAAGCTCAATTTTATACAACTGAGCTTTTACTATATAAACAAAACAATAAAACCTCAACAAAATTATCCTATTATAATCTAATCATCTCTCATCCCACCAAGCTGATTTTACCAGGCTAGGGCTATCAAACAAATAAATTCAATCTTAATCAATTTTGGAACATGGGTCCTTTATTTAGGGACTTCTTTTTCTTGGTTATTATCAAATAATTAGACAAATGATAAAAAGGTACGACTGAATTTTTGAAGCTCTTTTAAGATATATACAGTTGTATTATTTATTCTCTTTTTCTACATGGTAAACTAGGATATTTGTTGGATTTTTTAATTACAAACTTTGTAAATACACACTGCAGAACATAAATGTTATTCTTTTATTCTTAGTTATTTACTTTGTATTTTCTTACCCTGGTTAGAAGGAAAAGAGAAAATAAGCTTTTTGCTGATAAGAGTCCAACACTGCCAGGATGGGTTACCCCCACATAATGCAGTAACACTGTACTTACTCCACTGCTGAGGCCAGGGCTGGGTCCACTGTCCGAGCGAACTGTGGCTTCATGAAGCTACCATATACAAGGAGTTTGTAAAAATACAGCACAGTATGGCTCATATCTAGATAAAGCACCCAATGGCTTTCAACTTCCAGACAGACCATGCATGCATCATCACAAATCTCCTGAGAAATGATTAGTCCCTACTGGAGAAATAGCAATTTATACATCCTGTCCAAAGCTGGGCAAGGAAAACAGGGCTGTCACTGCTACAAGCTAAGTTTTATTCCTGCTTTTTAAAAAAGCACCAGAATGTTTAGACATATAAGTTCTTCTATGTAATGAAAGTAACATACTAAACTAAAAAGGTAAAGGAGAGGGAAAGTTATGAATGTAAACACCAAATAACAGCATGCAACAGATGCCATAGAAAACTCAGAAGTAAAACTCGCTTCCAAAAGCCTGGCACCTTTTCTTCCCATTTGGAGAAATATATCTGAGTAGGTCGGTAGGCAGGAAACCAGGACTGGGGCAGTAAATAGAGAATTAAAATGAAAACTTCTCATCTCATAGGATATAACCCATTTAATGAATAGCTCTTTTACTTTCATCTATCTTATTCTGCAGGTAGTATAATTCCCAAATAATTTTAATGTTACGAAGGTTAGTGTTCATGTCTTTCTTTAAAACAGCTAAATCCTTGGGGCGCCTGGGTGGCTCAGTGGGTTAAGCCGCTGCCTTCGGCTCAGGTCATGATCTCAGAGTCCTGGGATCGAGCCCCGCATCGGGCTCTCTGCTCTGCAGGGAGCCTGCTTCCTCCTCTCTCTCTGCCTGCCTCTCTGCCTGCTTGTGATCTCTCTGTCAAATAAATAAATAAAATCTTTAAAAAAAAAAAAACAAAAAACAGCTAAATCCTTACGCTATTTATGAAATATGGGGGCAGGGGTAGAATCATCTTAAGAAGTTTTTAATCTTTTATTGTTAAAACTATGTTGATGAGGTGTGCTTAGCCTCCTGAAACCCCACAATGCATTCTACTCATGCGGTTCTCTCCATTATTACAAATTCTTCCTGCTTTACTGTCTTATCAGGCAGAAGCATTCATACCGTGCTCAGACTTTTGTACTTAATGTGAAAAATCAGCACAATGCATGGAGTCATTTTTGTGTATACTCTTAATACCTTTCTTCAAGTACAGTTTCTGAGGACAAATGAAAACACTACCAATTTTTAGGTCAATTTTCTTATAAAAAAAAAAAAAAAGTAAGGATTTAAAGCCAAACACCTGAATACAGTTTCTGAAAATTCTTAATTACATGTAGCTTGATTTAGTGTTATTTGTTTGTATTTAATATACAGGACTAAATGAAACCTGAACTTCCAAATAGCAAGTACATGAAATGAAATCTTATTAGAGGGCCTATCTAAAACCAAAAACCAATTAACCAAACAACTAACCTAATTTTAGTAATTTTTTGCTTAAAAAAAATTGGCTATGATGCAAGAAAAAGGCTAGAGGGGAACATAAATATAATTTGGGACCAAATTCTTAAGTCACTATGGAAGTCAGGCATAGGAATTTCATTTTCAAATGAATGATATTTCACATTTATATAGCACCTTATACAAAGTGCTTTCCAATCATTATTACTTGACAGCCATTCATCATTGTAAATAAACATGGTTTACAATCTGTCAACAAATCTAAGAACTCTGAGGCAACCAAATACCCAAGAGAAAGTCTTGGACTAGTACATAGAATTAAGAAAAAAAATGTTAAGAGACCTGTCATAATATCACATACAAGAAGTCACTTACTGATCTTAACGACTGATAGTAGCATGTTAGGTTTAGGAATTACTGAGAAATTGAAGGGTTTATATTAAAGAATAAGTAAACTTAAGTGCAAGCCAACAAGGAAATTGTCCAAAAGGTAAGGCTACCTATTACTTGTAAGTACATGAAAAATAAATCTTTCAGATGCGGAGGGCAACTGAAACTATAAATGTCAGCCACATTGCTAGAATTTGATGTTCAGTTACTAGGATATTCCAGAACAAGAAAAAAATTAATGCACTGCCTGATTTTTTTTTCCTTCTGTAATTTCCCCCCAAATAATCTAACCACTGCATTTATCTTCTGTCAGCAAACAAGACAGCAAGAAATAATGAAATTTTATGTATGTTTTAAAAATAGTTTCCAAATCTTCGGACAAATTTAATTTCCTATAAAACAATGTGGAAAACTCATTTTTTCCCTCTAAATAAATCTATCAGGTGCCTTAGGTAACATCTGATTAGCACCTCTGCCAATGTATTTATGTCTTTGCAAAAAGTGCACTTGCCAACCATTTTATATAGTAAATATGCAAGTTATTTGAAGTGCATTTGGAAAACAATTGAAAACACAGATTAATACATCATAAAAAGATTAATTCCCTTTAAACAAAGACATTCTTATAAAGCATGGTAACACAGAGGCACAATAAAGAATATAAATTGTATATCAATTATTGGCAGAAAATCTAATTCATTACAAAGCCTACACAATTGGGGAAAGGACGTTTTCATACAAAGAAAAGTACTACACTATTATACAACACTTTTAATTGGGCATTTAAAAATTTTTGGCACATTAAAAGGAACCAAAAGGACTACAAAATAAAGAACGAAGAAACTAAAATATAGACACAGGGGAGAGAAAGTCCTCAAATGAGAAACAACTAAATATTAACATAAAAGAGACAAAAATAAGCTGGCTGAATTTCCTGAAATGTCATCATATGTAACAGAAGTATGCTTTGAATGCAGGGCGTTTTTTTTTTTTTTTTTTTTTTTTTTTTTATTCTGATGGCAAGACTTGTCTACCTTGCTGTGGCTGGTTGAACATGGCCCGGATAAGATCTTCTTGTGCTGGTTGCTTGTCTTTGCCGAGCCAGAAATGACTGCCCTGAACCTGTACTAGCAAGTCTGTCTTCAGCCGCCTTTTTATGCAGGGTCATTCCCTATACAACATAGGAAAAAAAAAGTAATCAACAAAAAAAAGTGCAACATACTCTCACCAAAAAAGAAAAAATCATCATGCAGAATTTGTCTCATTGCATCATAAGGCACAATTAGGAATGTTAATTCTGTTCCAACAATTAGGTACAAATCTTCTCTTGGAAAAATTAAGGTTTAATTTTCTGAATTTACAATAACCAAAACCCAGATAATAGAGACACAATTTTGGAGTATATTGCCCACATTCAACCACACTTCCTTTTTAAATCAAATGTAGAAGGTGATTTCCCAGGAACAAACAGGACGATTGATTGGTAGCAGTTGATTCACATGGGGTTGTGGAAATCACACGCCTTATTTTTGAGTGGAAAACACAAATGCACATGTTGTTTCTTAAGGAGGAAAGCCACAGCTAGATATAATACATACCACCAGGGTGTTTTTCTTCACGGCAGGCAGGCTTGTATTCCCAAGCAAATTAAGAAAAATTCCTGACAGCCCACAACAGAGGGCCCAAGAGAGCAGGGGGTCTTTTTTGAAGACTGGAGGATGGCCTACTAGCTTAGAAGGGAGAGGATATACAATTGCTGGGCCCAGAGCACCTTAACAGGAGGGAGGAAACCTCTGGGAGTGGCCTTTTAAAATTGTTCATCTGTGAGGAGATCAGGGAAAAAGTGGTGTGGATACTAATTTAATAAGTCAGTAAAGAACCCTGACCAGGCAACCATTAAGAATGGAGAGCGACTATTTATTCTCACCAGTCATTGGCTACAAGTAAACTAATGGGAGGAAGTGGACACTGCAACAAGGAAGAAAGGAAGAAATAAGCAACTGAGAGCCAAAAGGAGATCAGGACCTAAGCCAAGCCAAGCTATGTGAAAAGTCCTAGGGCTTTCCTAGAGTGAACTGGACAGATTAGCGCAGAAGACAGAACACTAAACATCAACCTTCATATCACTTGTTAGCTTCTAGAGAAAACGCTAGTCATGGCTTTGCATCTTTTACAGAATTTCGGTCTATCACATATACCTAAATAAACAACATTTCTCCATTTTCCCAATGAGAAAATCCAGAACATGTTTTTTACTCAATTTAAATCAAAGCCTTCAAGAATCTGAAGAAAATGGCAAATATCTATTGGTAATCCTTAAATTTATTAAAGTGGCTACATATATTACCAATTCTATTTTATTTAAAATATATTATCTTTTTTAACTTTCACATTCCAAGCAACTTATTTAAATTCTTCACACACCTTTAAGATCTCGGTAGCCATGACTGGGCCATTCTCTGAGATACTTAATGCCTTTTCCAGGTGCTCGTCACCTCCTTTCCATTCAGTAGCCTGTGATGCAGAACTTTCTGAATGTATGTATGAAGCTGTTACTGGCTATCTTTCTGGAACATAACCTGTGTGAGGCTATTAGAAGTTACTCCTTTACTCCCTGAGAGCTGAAGAGTAGGGCTATGTTTTAATACCATGTCACAGAATAAGTAAATTCGCTCTATAACCACAATATGTGAAGTCATACAAATCAATCAAAACTATGAAATGACCAATAAGGATCGACTAACCTTTGAAGAGGACAAAGAGGAAACAGAAAAGGTGGAGTCAGAACTAGTTTTCAGAGATCTTCCTTACATAGTTTTCCCTTATTCTGTAATTTTTCATTTTCAAGAAATCTGTATTTATTAATCAAAATAATATTCTAAGCCCAATTTGATTTCCTTTGTTTTTTAGGATTGTAATAAAATTTGAAATATTTTTGCCTTGTGGTTAAAACAACATAAATGTGGACATGTCATGAAATTAGATGAATTTATGACAAAGATAAAATCCCACTATTAGGAGACCTGGGACATTATCCTTTAAGACACAGTATCAGTTACAATTGTAAAACAGAAACAACTACAACATAACAATAGGGAAGGGGGAGATGATGAAAAAAAAAAAATCCGGCTCAATTTCTTGTCTTAGGCAACTAACATTTTGACAAGGCAGAAGTGGTCTTACTGGGAAGAAAAACAATGCAAAAAGACAAGTCTAGGACAAAAATATTGAAAAAAGTACAGCACTCTTCAAAATTCACAGCTATTCACATCCAGAAAATTCTTACTGAAGCCCATAATGTTGATAAGCATTTACTTTTCCCTTGTAATATTTTTAACACTTTTTTGTGTTGGAAAATTCAATTTCAAAACCTCTAGTTTAGGTTTTAACACCATGAACATTCTGTAAACCCTATGAGATAAACCATCCTCTTGTAAGTTCCACTCCTGTGAAGACAATGGAATAGTCCCATAAAACAAATGCTACTGCATCTGTGTTTCAATATTATTAAAGTCCCCTTCTCCTAGAATAAAATGGTTCTCAGGGCCAGAAATCAAACTGTCATTTATCTTTCTATCCTTTAGGAATAATAATGTGTTCAAAACATCCTAACCCTAACCCTATTATGATAGTTCTCATTTCTCCTTTTCAATCCTAAGATCAGCATTAGGTTTGGTTAGTGTGTGTTAGGATAGCAATTATTTTCAAATTTATTTGGTAGAACTACTTCTATAATACAGTAGTATAATACAGGTAGTATAATAAACATTACATATTCAATGAACTTTGCAATGTGTTTTGAAGTGTTTTCTTACCATATTGTACCAGGCACTAACAATGTATTTCTCCTCCATTTCTCTTTGACTCTTTGTTTTCTCATATTCTTTCTAAAAAACAAGCACATGTAAACATGTAAAGATGAAATACACAGTATCAATAAAATACAATTAGTTATATAAATTCATGGACATAGTTGTATATAGCAAGGCTCCTAGAAAATAAAGCATCAAAAACCAAGTATCTTGGGGTGCCTGGGTGGCTCAGTCGTTAAGCATCTGCCTTTGGCTCAGGTCATGATCCCAGGGTCCTGGAATCGAGCACCGCATCAGGATCCCTGCTCAGTGGAGAGCATTCTTCTCCCTGTCTCTCTGCCTGCCTCTCTGCCTACCTGTGATCTCTCTCTCTGTCAAATAAATAAATAAAATCTTTTTTTTGTTTTAAAGATTTTATTTATTTATTTGACACAGAGAGAGAAAGAGAGATAGCAAGAGAGGGAACACAAGCAGGGGAAGTAGGGGAGGGGGAAGCAGGCTCCCCGCTGAGCAGGGAGCTCATGCAGGGCTTGATCCCAGGACCCTGGGACCATGACCTGAGCCGAAGGCAGATGCTTAACGACTGAGCCACCCAGCTGCCCCATAAATAATATCTTAAAAAACAAAAAACAAAAAACAAAACAAAACAAAAACCCAACAAAATGGGGTGCCTGGGTGGCTCAGTGGGTTAAAGCCTCTGCCTTTGGCCCGGGTCGTGATCCCAGGGTCCGGGGATCGAGCCCCGCATCAGGCTCTCTGCTCAGTGGGGAGCCTGCTTCCTCCTCTCTCTCTGCCTGCCTCTCTACTTGTAATCTCTATCAAATAAATAAATCAAATCTTTAAAACAACAACAACAACAAAAAAACACCAAATATCTTATCATATAGTATACAGCAAAGTACCTCTAAAGAATGGAAGAGTCGGTCTCGTTCCTGAAGCTGATTTTTAAGAGCTTGTATTTCTGGTGCTGCTCCTTGATTCTGCTTAGGGTCTAGAGTACGGATAACCTGCAAAAAGAAACAAAGAAAAAAAAATTTTTAAAGATTTTATTTATTTGTGAGAGAGTGTAAGAGAACATAAGAAGAAGGAAGGTTGTAGGGAGAACCAGACTCCCCACTGAGCGGGGAGCCCAACATGGGGCTTGATCTCAGGACTCTGGGACATTACCTGAGCCAAAGGCAGAGGCTTAACTGACTGAGGCACCCAAGTGCCCCCAAAGAAAAAATCTTATTGTATGGCTCAGCTAACTTCTGCCTCTGAGCAGCACAATACTTAGAGGAATGGGTCCTGAGGGTTAAAAGCCTGTCACTGTGACTCTACTGCCTTCTCTGCCAGCAGCTTGGTTTAGGCCATGGGCATGTTATGCAATCAATTCTAGTTGGCCAACTAGCAGTCTTCTGGGAAAGGTCTTTTTGCTTTTTGGCTCAATACTTTTACTATAAAAACTGATCAAACCTATAGAAAACTGAAAGAGGGAAACAGAAACCCATTTCCTTTAACCCCAATTCAGCAACTGCCGCACTGCCACATTTTCTCTACACCTACACACACACACACACACACGCACGCATGCTTGTTTGGGAGCCTACTGTAAAGCAATCTGCAGACCTGGGAACATTTAACCCCTAAGTACTTCAACATGCATCTTAGACTAAGGACATTCTCTTACACAATCACAATACCAACATCTCTGTAAGAAAACCAACAATTCTGTAAGTCATCACTGTTCAATCCAAATCCGCATTTCCACAGGTGTCTCCAAATGTCTTTGATAAATCACTGCTCCTTCCACCCCCAATTCTGTCCCCCAAGATAAATGCATTACAGACACTCACACTTTTGGCTTTCTCTAAGTATTTTTTATACCGTTCCTCCATTTGCTTCATTTCCTCTTCTTTCTTCCGTAAAGCTTCTTGTAATTCTTCAATTTTTAAGGCTATAGATGAGAGTGAAAAAAGAAAAAAAAATTTTTTTTAGATTTTAACAAACTGAAAAATATCTTGAATAAGTAGTAGCTTTGAGAGACTGTTTGGTCTATTCCCATATATAAATTTTTTTAAAGGATTTTATTTTTTTGAGAGAGAGAGACGAAGAGAGAGAGCATGAGAAGGAGGAGAGTCAAAGAGAAGCAGACTCCCTGCTGAGCTGGGAGCCCGATGTGGGACTCAATCCTGGGACTCAAGGATCATGACCTGAGCTAAAGGCAGTCGCTTAACCAACTGAGCCACCCAGGAGCCCTATCCTATATAGAATTTTATTTTAAAAATTCATAATTTTTATTTTCATAAAACAACTTTTTTTTAATAAAGCAAATTTTTTTTTTTAAACATGTATTTTTATCCCCAGGGGTACAGGTCTGTGAATCACCAGGTTTACACACTTCACAGCACTCACCATAGCACATACCCTCCCCAATGTCCATAACCCCACCCCCCCTTTCCCAAACCCCCTCCCCCCATCAACCCTCAGTTTGTTTTGTGAGATTAAGAGTCACTTCTGGTTTGTCTCCCTCGCAATCCCATCTTGTTTCATTTACTCTTCTCCTACCCCCTTAACCCCTCATGTTGCATCTCCTCTCCCTCATATCAGGGAGATCATATGATAGTTGTCTTTCTCCGATTGACTTATTTCGCTAAGCATGATACCCTCTAGTCCCATCCACGTCGTCGCAAATGGCAAGATTTCATTTCTTTTGATGGCTGCATAGTATTCTATTGTGTATATGTACCACACCTTCTTTATCCATTCATCTACTGATGGACATCTAGGTTCTTTCCATAGTTTGGCTATTGTAGACATTGCTGCTATAAACATTCGGGTGCACGTGCCCCTTCAGATCACTACGTTTGTATCTTTAGGGTAAATACCCAGTAGTGCAATTGCTGGGTCATAGGGTAGTTCTATTTTCAACATTTTGAGGAACCTCCATGCTGTTTTCCAGAGTGGTTGCACCAGCTTGCATTCCCACCAACAGTGCAGGAGGGTTCCCCTTTCTCCGCATCCTCGCCAGCATCTGTCATTTCCTGACTTGTTAATTTTAGCCATTCTGACTGGTGTAAGGTGATATCTCATTGTGGTTTTGATTTGTATTTCCCTGATGCTGAGTGATATGGAGCACTTTTTCATGTGTCTGTTGGCCATCTGGATGTCTTCTTTGCAGAAATGTCTGTTCATGTCTTCTGCCCATTTCTTGATTGGATTATTTGTTCTTTGGGTGTTGAGTTTGCTAAGTTCTTTATAGATTTTGGACACTAGCCCTTTATCCGATATGTCATTTGCAAATATCTTCTCCCATTCTGTCAGTTATCTTTTGGTTTTGTTAACTGTTTCCTTTGCTGTGCAAAAGCTTTTGATCTTGACAAAATCCCAATAGTTCATTTTTGCCCTTGCTTCCCTTGCCTTTGGTGATGTTCCTAGGAAGATGTTGCTGCGGCTGAGGTCGAAGAGGTTGCTGCCTGTGTTCTCCTCAAGGATTTTGATGGATTCCTTTCTCACATTGAGGTGCTTCATCCATTTTGAGTCTATTTTCATGTGTGGTGTAAGGAAATGATCCAATTTCATTTTTCTGCATGTAGCTGTCCAATTTTCCCAACACCATTTATTGAAGAGGCTGTCTTTTTTCCATTGGACATTCTTTCCTGCTTTGTGAAAGATTAGTTGACCATAGAGTTGAGGGTCTATTTCTGGTCTCTCTGTTCTGTTCCACTGATCTATGTGTCTGTTTTTGTGCCAGTACCATGCTGTCTTGATGATGACAGCTTTGTAATAGAGCTTGAAGTCTGGAATTGTGATGCCACCGACTTTGGCTTTCTTTTTCAATATTCCTTTGGCTATTCGAGGTCTTTTCTGGTTCCATATAAATTACAGAATTATTTGTTCCATTTCTTTGAAAAAAATGGATGGTACTTTGATAGGAATTGCATTAAATGTGTAGATCGCTTTAGGTAGCATAGACATTTTCACAATATTTATTCTTCCAATCCAGGAGCATGGAACATTTTTCCATTTCTGTGTGTCTTCCTCAATTTCTTTCATGAGTACTTTATAGTTTTCTGTGTATAGATTCTTAGCCTCTTTGGTTAGGTTTATTCCTAGGTATCTTATAGTTTTGGGTGCAACTGTAAATGGGATTGACTCCTTAATTTCTCTTTCTTCTGTCTTGTTGTTGGTGTAGAGAAATGCAACTGATATCTGTGCATTGATTTTATATCCTGACACTTTACTGAATTCCTGTACAAGTTCTAGCAGTTTTGGAGTGGAGTCCTTTGGGTTTTCCACATATAGTATCATATCATCTGCGAAGAGTGATAGTTTGACTTCTTCTTTGCCGATCTGGATGCCTTTAATTTCCTTTTGTTGTCTGATTGCTGAGGCTAGGACTTCTAGTACTATGTTGAATAGCAGTGGTGATAATGGACATCCCTGCCGTGTTCCTGACCTTAGTGGAAAAGCTTTCAGTTTTTCTCCATTGAGAATGATATTTGCAGTGGGTTTTTCATAGATGGCTTTGATAATATTGAGGTATGTGCCCTCTATCCCTAAACGTTGAAGAGTTTTGATCAGGAAGGGATGCTGTACTTTGTCAAATGCTTTTTCAGCATCCATGGAGAGTATCATATGGTTCTTGTTCTTTCTTTTATTAATGTGTTGTATCACATTGATTGATTTGCGGATGTTGAACCAACCTTGCAGCCCTGGAATAAATCCCACTTGGTCGTGGTGAATAATCCTTTTAATGTACTGTTGAATCCTATTGGCTAGTATTTTGGCGAGAATTTTTGCATCTGTGTTCATCAAGGATATTGGTCTGTAGTTCTCTTTTTTGATGGGATCCTTGTCTGGTTTTGGGATCAAGGTGATGCTGGCCTCATAAAATGAGTTTGGAAGTTTTCCTTCCATTTCTATTTTTTGGAACAATTTCAGGAGAATAGGAATTAGTTCTTCTTTAAATGTTTGGTAGAATTCCCCTGGGAAGCCGTCCGGCCCTGGGCTTTTGTTTGTTTGGAGATTTTTGATGACTGTTTCAATCTCCTTACTGGTTATGGGTCTATTCAGGCTTTCTATTTCTTCCTGGTTCAGTTGTGGTAGTTTATATGTCTCTAGGAATGCATCCATTTCTTCCAGATTGTTAAATTTGTTGGCGTAGAGGTGCTCAGAGTATGTTCTTATAATTGTCTGTATTTCTTTTGTGTTAGTTGTGATCTCTCCTCTTTCATTCATGATTTTATTTATTTGGGTCCTTTCTCTTTTCTTTTTGATAAGTTTGGCCAGGGGTTTATCAATCTTATTAATTCTTTCAAAGAACCAGCTCCTAGTTTCGTTGATTTGTTCTATTGTTTTTTTGGTTTCTATTTCATTGATTTCTGCTCTTATCTTCATGATTTCTCTTCTCCTGCTGGGTTTAGGGTTTCCTTCTTGTTCTTTTTCCAGCTCCTTTAGGTGTAGGGTTAGGTTGTGTACCTGAGACCTTTCTTGTTTCTTGAGAAAGGCTTGTACCACTATATATTTTCCTCTCAGGACTGCCTTTGTTGTGTCCCACAGATTTTGAACTGTTGTGTTTTCATTATCATGTTTCCATGAATTTTTTCAATTCTTCTTTAATTTCCTGGTTGACCCATTCATTCTTAGAAGGATGCTGTTTAGTCTCCATGTATTTGGGTTCTTTCCAAATTTCCTCTTGTGATTGAGTTCTAGCTTCAGAGCATTGTGGTCTGAAAATATGCAGGGAATGATCCCAATCTTTTGATACTGGTTGAGACCTGATTTAGGACCGAGGATGTGATCTATTCTGGAGAATGTTCCATGTGCACTAGAGAAGAATGTGTATTCTGTTGCTTTGGGATGAAATGTTCTGAATATATCTGTGATGTCCATCTGGTCCAGTGTGTCATTTAAGGCCTTTATTTCCTTGTTGATCTTTTGCTTGGATGATCTGTCCATTTCAGTGAGGGGAGTGTTAAAGTCCCCTACTATTATTGTATTATTGTTGATTTGTTTCTTTGATTTTGTTATTAATTGGTTTATGTAGTTGGCTGCTCCCATGTTAGGGGCATAGATATTTAAAATTGTTAGATCTTCTTGTTGGACAGTTCCTTTGAGTATGATATAGTGTCCTTCCTCATCTCTTATTATAGTCTTTGGCTTAAAATCTAATTGACCTGATATAAGGATTGCCACTCCTGTTTTCTTCTGATGTCCATTAGCATGGTAAATTCTTTCCCACCCCCTCACTTTAAATCTGGAGGTGTCTTCGGGTTTAAAATGAGTTTCTTGTAGGCAACATATAGATGGTTTTTGTTTTTTTATCCATTCTGATACCCTGTGTCTTTTGATTGGGGCATTTAGCCCATTGACATTCAGGGTAACTATTGAGAGACATGAATTTAGTGCCATTGTATTGCCTGTAAGGTGACTGTTATTGTATATTGTCTCTGTTCCTTTCTGATCTACTACTTTTAGAGTCTCTCTTTGCTTAGAGGATCCCTTTCAATATTTCCTGTAGAGGTGGTTTGGTGTTTGCAAATTCTTTCAGTTTTTGTTTGTCCTGGAAGCTTTTTCTCTCTCCTTCTATTTTCAATGATAGCCTAGCTGGATATAGTATTCTTGGCTGCATGTTTTTCTCGTTTAGTGCTCTGAATATATCATGCCATCTCTTTCTGGCCTGCCAGGTCTCTGTGGATAAGTCTGCTGCCAATCTAATATTTTTTACCATTGTATGTTACAGACTTCTTTTCCCAGGCTGCTTTCAGGATCTTCTCTTTGTCACTAAGACTTGTAAATTTTACTATTAGGTGACAGGGTGTGGACCTATTCTTATTGATTTTGAGGGGGGTTCTCTGAACCTCCTGGATTTTGATGCTTGTTCCCTTTGCCGTATTGGGGAAATTCTCTCCAATAATTCTCTCCAATATACCTTCTGCTCCCCTCTCTCTTCTTCTGGAATCCCAATTATTCTAATGTTGTTTCGTCTTATGGTGTCACTTATCTCTCGAATTCTCCCCTCGTGGTCCAGTAGCTGTTTGTCCCTCTTTTGCTCAGCTTTATTCTCTGTCATTTGGTCTTCTATATCGCTAATTCTTTCTTCTGCCTCATTTATCCTAGCAGTGAGAGCCTCCATTTTTGATTGCACCTCATTAATAGCTTTTTTGATTTCAATTTGGTTAGATTTTAGTTCTTTTATTTCTCCAGAAAGGGCTTTTATATCTCCCGTGAGGGTTTCTCTAATATCTTCCATGCCTTTTTCGAGCCCGGCTAGAACTTTGAGAATCGTCATTCTGAACTCTAGATCTGACATATTACCAGTGTCTGTATTGATTAGGTCCCTAGCCTTTGGTTCTGCCTCTTGTTCTTTTTTTTGTGGTGAATTTTTCCGCCTTGTCATTTTGTCCAGATAAGAGTATATGAAGGAGGGACGCCTGGGTGGCTCAGTTGGTTAAGCAGCTGCCTTCGGCTCAGGTCATGATCCCAGAGTCCTGGGATCGAGTCCCACATCGGGCTCCTTGCTCGGCAGGGAGCCTGCTTCTCCCTCTGCCTCTGCCTACCACTCTGTCTGCCTGTGCTCATGCTCTCTCTCTCTCTAACAAATAAATAAATAAAATCTTAAAAAAAAAAAAAAGAGTATATGAAGGAGCAAGTAAAATACTAAAAGGGTGGCAACAACCCCAGGAAAATATGCTTTAACCAAATCAGAAGAGATCCTAAATCGTGAGGGAGGAGAAAGGGGTTAAAAAGAGGTTCAGAAAGGGAAAAAAAAAAAAAAAAAAAAAGAAACAAGTAAAAAAAGAAAGAAAAAATATAAAAAAAGAAAAAAAATATATATATTAGATAAACTAGTTAAAAAACGTTAAAAAAG